AAAGTGCAGGAACTCAGCGATGAGTAAAATTTGTCTCATGGTTTGTATTTATGTGTATTTAAACGAGTTTAGCTGTTTTGGACTCCTAGCCAAGCAACTTCTAAAAAAATACTTTATTCAAGATAGCAACATGTTTTTTTTTTTCATTGACTTGGATTGATTCACATTCATGTACGGATTTTGATCCATGACTGTACGGATTTTGATTAATTCTCAACACAGTGTACGGATTTCGATTCAAAATTGTACGGATTTTGATTCAATCGTAGAACGCTGTACGGATTTTGATTCAAGATATGTGCAATTTAAATACTTTTTTCTAATAATTAAAGGAAATTTTAAGACCTGGTGTTTGCAAATAATGCGAAAATAAAGATAAATGTATAGGAAAAAGATGTGATATAGAGCATAATGTGATAGCATTATTTAGTATTGACCGTTAATGATTCTCTCGTGCTTAGATGTACGGATTTCGGTCCCGCACGGTAACTGTACTCTAAATTTGAGGCTTTAGTGATATATAAATTCTCAAAACCAAGCCTGTGGACTTGGAGACATACTTCAAGTCCCCGCGTACATCGTACGGGCTAGGCAAAAATGTGCGTCATCTTGAAAACTGTCGCTTTAATGGCCCTTCGCTCATTTTCAACTTCTATTCAATTTTCATACTGCCGTACTCTAACGGAACTATCCACCTACATTCTTCTAAAGATCATTCTCTAGCTAATAAATCATCACACTAAAGCTTCATGTTAGCATTTCCAACCAACTCCAAGTAAAGATGTCAAAAACGCATTTAGAAAATAGGGGCAGTGAACTCCGGGACCTTTCATATGATTATTTTTAACGCCCAAGCCTTTGAAATTATAGTTAGGGTGGTTAAAAAAAATGTTTTCCTTTATACCCAAATTTTAAAATTCATAACTTTTTAACTATTTGACCGATTGTCGATCTTTGTTCAGCTAATGAAAGGTATTTAAAAGGATTGTCTAGAAAAATATGAAACTGAAAGTCAAACAAGTTTAAATAGACTTAAAAAATACATGGATTTCACTGTGCCGACATTAAAGAAAACCACGTTTTTTATATTTTTTGGAGAGCTCATATTTTTTTATTCAACATATACAAAAGCCAGAATGGCGTTTATTTTTTCGTTTTTGAGATAGGGGAAATGGATGTAATGTCGGCCTTAATGCCTCTAATTTCGGCCCATGCATACATTCAGTAATCGACTAAATTTTCAATAGCGACCAAAAATATCCTTTAGTACCGTCCCGATGACGCGTTCATCTAGATAAAATTGATAAATAGCAGATTTTTAGCGATAGGCTCAATCTTAGATGCATAGGCTAACATTAGAGCCATTTCCCCTATGTATTATTTTTTTAATATTAAGTCTTTTGTTTTTACCTCAAACCTATCATGCGTCTCCATTGGTTTGAGGTGACTGGACTGCCATGTCTGCATTAATTTGAAATGATTGTTCCAACTTACGATTTTAAATTGGCTCACTACTTTACTAGCCTATTGGTCCCAAGCAAATCGATTGACGTATCCAATTCACGTCGAAATTCTAGTACTACACTATGTTTGTTTTGATTCGATATGAAAGTTTGACAGAAAAAAAGAAGGGTTTGTGGATTTTCCTATGTTTCGAGGGTTTCATTGATTAGCTTGGGACCGAAGAGAGTACCAGAGCTGAGCCAAAAAGTTGAGCACGTTTCTTCGGGACCTTCTGATTTTAGAGTTACTTTTAGAATTGTACCATAGAGTTAACTCTATGATGTTTAGTTGTATACATAAATTTCAGCATTTCTACTATCGTAGCAGCAACCAAATTAAAAAATGCTCCATTTGAAAAATAAAAGCATTTTAAGATTGCACTCGTATAAAGGGTGTCCACGATGAAATTGCCACACTATGAAATTGCTCTAACTTTTTAACCGTTGGGTAGAATTTAATGAAAATTTGGGTGGATTTAGTTCATAGTGCATTATTTACATCCTGCAAGTTTTAAAGTCCTGTGATCAAAACTCGCGGAAATGGAGTCGAAAGAACAGCTCGTGCGTGATAAAATCTTGCGCATTCATCACGAGAACAAGGATCTCTCGCATCGTTCCATCGCTAAAACGTTGGGAATCGCGAATTCCACGATGTCGCGAGTGATTAAGCGGTTCGAGGAACGGTTGATCACCGATCGGAAGCCCAGAAGTGAAGGAAAAAGTATTCCGTACAACACCAAAAATCACAACCGCGTAGTTGGGGCCTTCAACCGAAATCCGAACGCCTCCGTTAGGGATGTGGCTAAGAAGCTGCACCTAAGCCGAAGTTTTGTCCAGAAGGCCAAAACTAAGGCTGGGCTTCGAACGTACAAAAGGCCCCTAATCGCGACGAGAAGCAGAACAAGTCCGCCAAAACCCGTGCCAGAAAGTTGTACCTCAACATGCTGACGAAAGTTGAATGCTGCATCATGGACGACGAAACATATGTGAAGGCCGACTTCAAACAGATCCCCGGCAACCTGTTTTTCACGGCCAAGGATAAGTTCAGCGTTCCGGAGCATGTCCGCACTCAGAAGATGTCCAAATTTGCGAAGAAATTCCTGGTTTGGCAAGCCATCTGCACGTGCGGGAAGCGGAGTGCACCTTTCGTGACCCAGGACACGATGAACGGACAGGTGTACATAAAAGAGTGCCTCCAGAAGCGGCTGCTTCCTCTCCTGAAGGCCCACAACGTCCCAACAATCTTCTGGCCGGATTTGGCCTCATGCCACTACTCCAAGGACGTGCGGAAGTGGTATGCGGACAATAAGGTAAATTTCGTGCCGAAAATGTTCAACCCTCCCAACACTCCGGAGCTCCACCCCATCGAGAAGTACTTGGTGATTATGAAGCAGCACCTTCTTAAACGACCTAAGGTAGTGAAGACAGTCGAGGAACTGAAGAAAGTATGGGTTTACATGCAAAAAACGGTTGATTCACAGGTTGTGCAGAATCTTATGGCCGGGGTTAAGGCCAAGGTGCGGGCATTTGCGTATGGACTGTAAATAAAATACGAGTAAAATGGTAAAATGAAGTTTAATAGTTATTTCTCAATCCCTGAAAATTTGATGGCAATCGGATAAAAACTCGAATTTTGCGAATCAATTTTGTGTGTGGCTATTTCATCGTGGACACCCTTTACCTTCCCGGGGAATTTTTTTTAAACCATTATCACTTTCATAGTTTTTCTATTCTCCACGGGAGCCAATTTTGATTTGCCATTGGACGACAGTTACTCATTAATGGGTGAAATTGTTACTCATCAATGAGTTAAGCCACTTTTCTTCAAAATGGGTATTTTTACCCATTATAGGGTACTTTCAAGTAAGCGTGTAGAGGACTTTAGTTGTGAGATGTTTCAACCTCTAAATAAAAAAAACTATTATTGCAAACATCCCTATCAATATAAGTACGGTATTCTACTCAGTTCACGTGCTTCTGAAGTTGTAAAGGCCTAACTGTAATGATCGATTCTCTACATTGATTTGAGATGTTACAGTTGATTGAAACAGTTTTTCGAAGGTGTTCAATTTCATTTCTGTAATAGGTTGTATGTTAATCTAGTAAAATTATTATCCAAAGAGATAAATTAAACTATTCTCATTTTGCTTAAAATTTAATCAATTTGACATTAAACTCAGTTCAAACATATCGAATGATTCAAAATCAATTATCTATTGCTAAAAAATAATCATCTGATATTAAACTCAGTTTAGTTATGGTTGATTAAATTGCAAGTTATCTTGCTCGAATAAGTTTTAATCATTTTTTTTAATAATCATGACAGATACGTATTTCGACTACAATGTGCAGCCTTCATCAGCGTTATTCCCACTAAAGACTTATCAAAAACCTAATCCCCTTAAGTACACATCCCCTAGGGAACTGACCTTATTTAGGTTATTTGTTTATGTATGTTTTTATCAAAATTTTCGGTCCCAGGCAGGTTTATCTCCTGCCAACGTTATGTGTGGACAACCCTAAAAAAATATACAGGAATTAAAATGCTTTCCAGAGGATAAACTTATTTTTTTTTTTTTAATTAAAGACTCAGCAAATTAAACATTTTCTAGAACTTGGTCTTTGACAAAACTCGCATAAACCTGGAGTTGCTTTTTAATCATGGACAGTCTCAGACTAAGTACATTGTTTGATATTGAGGAAATATTTCATTAGGGATCAGTTGGAAAACCTTTAATTTTCAACATTCTGGGCCTCGTAAAAAATAAACCCTGTGAATATTTTCTTGGCCACGGTAGAGGAATCAACTACCTGACTTAGCTAAATTATTAAATTTGCTGAATTTAGTAAAATTTCGTATCATCAGGACTTTTGAAAATCTTTTTATTTATTTTGACCATCGTGGATCTTGAAAAAACAATAGTTTAGTTGAGAGTAGTTGTTCGAGTAGTCATATTGTTTGGTATTTAGTGATTCAACGTTGTTTTGTAAAACAAATAGTAAAACGAACCAGTTTAAACGTTTAGCATACACAAAATTAAAATAAATAAAGGTTCCGAATGTGTCCATTTTTGGAATCACAAAATGTATTAACAAATATGAACACACACTTCAACATGTTTTACTTGTAAATTACAATAATTGATTTAAAACGTATGTTATTGACATGTGAAAACTGTCAGCTTCGCTTCCTAGTCACATGACCTTTCATGACACATAATCATTTAAAAATTCCTACATATATTTGCTACTAGGATTTGTTATAATCGTAACCCTAATCGAGTGAATCTGCATACAATCGAGATGATGAACTTAGTTCACCATAAATAAATATGTTTTTTAGATTCCGTTTTTGAAAGAATTTCTTTGAATATTACGTGATCTTCGAATAAGAAATAGATTGCGATTCTGGACATAAGAACATCTCTAAACTTGCATTCATTGTTGCCGATGGATGGTAGAATAGAGAGAATATGGAATTATAAAAGATATCCTCACCTTTCATCGGAGTATCTCCAAACCAAAATCGCTTGGATACAGGAAAGTACCACGGTTCTGCCAACCCGAAATCTCCAGGAAACACTTGTTCTATGTACAATGCGAGCAATAGATAAATTACCGTATCCGCCAGTAGCATCAGCATAATCATGCCGAGGTTGATGTTGTCTACGTCGCTGTCATGAAATAAAGTTGACCATTGCATGCCTTCAGTGGTCCCTTCATACACTCCGATCAACCGTAAACCGAATCCGATGGCTGTGTTCAGCAGCAGCGATGCCGCGAGCTTGTCAGATACTGACAGGCTACCGTAATCCTGATCCATTACTGCAAACGGAGCAAATGCCAAAAACCAAATGATAGCAGCAACCGCTCCTCCCGAGTTTGCTTTGGAAAACAGCGTACTCAACATGAACGAGAACGTGATAATCGCCATTCCGTAGATAAAGAAAAACAACCATATCACTCCCCAGTCTGAGTGCGTAAGTACGGATACGTCTGGGGTGCTGTACCATGGCACTTTAAGAAATAGCACTACCAGCGATATCGAAATTACGATGAAAATCAAGCACTTCGCGAACCACGAGCACCACAAAATCCAGTTACTCATTCCCATAATCTTCATCGCTTCTTTGATTTGTTTTTCCTTTTCAAATATTATCGACTTCACAATACTAATACACGGGTAGATGAAGGCCAACATCACTGAAATCGGTAAGAACGTCGTCAAACTGGATGGGAAATTATCGTCCATAAACGGCGGATATGGAAACCGTTGCACTATCACATCCGGTACGTCTTGTTCTAATACTTTCACTTGTGCTACAAAGGATTTGAATATGAAATGCTGGATGCTGAGAAATCCTTCACGAAAATACCCCGGACTCGGTCCGCCATCATCGTATGTGTAGAACCGCGCGCCTCCATCAGGTCTCGAGGCAAAGCGCGAATTCGTTCGCCATGTGTGTGTAATTCCAAACTGAGCGCGGAGTTCTCCGGGAAACCGTAGCGTGTAATTCAACTTTTTCGGGAGACTAGATAGCTCTACGTAACGTTCATCAAATTGTACCCCAACGAAGGAATTCGAGGCCATGAGAAAGTATTGCATTTCGTTCGAACTGGGAAAGCTCTCCAACTGCAGTTCAGTCCATTCTGCCACAGGCAGCATCAACTCTCGAATGAACGCCGTGTCCGGTGAGTAGGCTATCACCGGTGCGAAGGGAACCACCAAGTTGTTCCTGCCGATGTAGTTAGTCATCATTAACTGGATCGTTATCATTTGGGAATTTTTGCATTTGCAACGGCAACTTACCTTATCCCGGTAAAGTTGGATACATCCAAGGGATCATATATTGATTCATAGTTGTTAATCTTTACTTCGGTAAGGCTTCGAAGCCCAACCAGAAGAAGCATAAAGAATGGAGGGATGAATATCTCCACCAGCGAAGATATCTTGCTCCGCCAGTGCAAGAGAAAATTCTTCCATAGTAGTAATGCAAATTTTTCTCCACTAGTGGTTCCCGAAGCTTGAGTTATAACGCTAGCACCTGACGATCCTTGAGCTGTTATAATGACCATTTTTTTTTTTGGGCAAGCCCTATATTTGTTGTCCTGAAAAAATAAATCGAAACACCTATAAATCAAAATTTACTTTCGGTTTGGGATATTTATCTACAAACGGAAATCTATACAAGCAGTACACAGACAGGGATTACCTTTATCAGTTTAATCAAACGCAAACATAGATAAAGTTAATTAAATTTCACAGCTCTAACACGTCATATGATATTTTTACATGTAGATCGCGTTCGATACTAATAGAATTTAATTCACTATAAGAACTAAAGAGTTAATTAACGATCAAAATTAATAAATACGAGAAAGTAACATTTTGTTCTACCTTTATGTACGACTCCTAACCGTATACCTCGAGTTCCTTCGCAAAACTGAATTGCAAATTGAACCAGGAACCGAAATAAGAATCCCACATCGGGAGTCCCACTATGACGAGTCGATCGGTTATAGATAAAACTTCGTGTAGATAAAAGCGATATCAAAGCATATCAATTATTATCAATGAGCCCCAATCACCTGCAAAATGGGAATTAGCGGAAGTAAAACCAACGCACGAATAGATGGCAAGGCAGAGTTTGGTTTATAATATCATGATATTCATAGACTGATGACGCTGGTCAGACAGGAACAGCTGTTATCACAATCCACCGAAACTTTTGTTCAAACGTCTGGAGGGAAATCTCAAGGCTCTTTGGAAATCATTAGTTTCAGCAAAAGGCTTCATAGTTATGTGTCCGGTGTAAAAATTAATTGATGAATCATCCATTGGTATACGGGTGTTAAATGTGGACACAAGCACTTGAAACAGCCAATTTATTTGATAAAAGCCAGATAAATAAAAGTCACAATCTGTAAGTTAGATCTCCACACCATTTATTAGCTTGAGTCATGCATGTGAACTACAAAATAGTAAAAGTCTAAATGAGATACATTCATACATCATGATTGGTTGACGAGTCGAATCTAGTCAGAATTTATTCTGAGCACCACTTTCATGCACCACAAAGCACTCAGTCAACTTTCACTCGAAAGCGGCGCCGGTGGTGTAGTGGTAAGCGTGATTACCTCTCACCCCAGCAGGCCTGGGTTCTCAATCCCAGTCGGCGCCGCCGGGATGTTCTGAGGCATAACATCTCTGATCCCGCCTTCCTTCGGAAGGGAAGTAAAGCCGTTGGTCCCCGGTTCATGAGTTGATGGGTCGATAGGTAATGAAAATAGTTTTAGTAAAAATACCACATTTTTAAATTAAAAGTTTCCCGAACTTCGTGATTTTTTTTTCTTTCCTTTATTTAACGTCAGTCTCTGTTCCGCAATCTAGTGCCAATCACCGACGGACATCGATTGCCATCCATTGACGGCAATCGAATGTGCAGGAAGGCAGCTCTCACACCTGCGTAGGATATCGCACCCATTCAACACACATACACATGGGCCGGGACCAACGGCTTTACTTCCCTTCTTCGGAAGACGTAACCAGAGATTTTAATGCCTCAGAAACATCCCACCGACCTCGGCTGGGATTGAACCCAGACCCATCGGGGTGTTAGAAAGCAGTCACGCTTACCACTACACCACTGGCGCCGGCTGAATTTCGTGATATTAACTACGAAAATATTCTCCGCAAATGTTGTTCTTTTAGTTTAAAAGTTGATCTTTCACATTCTACTTGCTATTTTTAAAAGTGTGGTCTTTCAAAAGAAAAGTTGTTGTACTGTCAAAATAACCCAGGGGCCTGGCTGGCGGCCATGTTTTTGATGCTATCATCTGCCGTTGTCTTTCTGCATACACGGTTAGAAAAAAGTGCCCAACGGCCAGTTCACTTTTACCTACTTTTGACTAGTTTGTCTCCTTTTCTCCTACTAATGTTGTCAAAAACGAAGGAGCAAAACCACCCAACAGGGGTAGTAAAGTGTGGGAACCCAACGTTGAGTATAATCATATTTACCTACTGATGGGTACAACTAACTTAATTTTGGGTAGAAAACTAGTGGAAAATTCCATACGAATTGCACACAAGTAAATGAAAATTACTTTGACCCGCTTTACCTACTTTTGGGTTCCTGCACTATAGTGCCGAGATGAGTGAAAAGAACTTAATTTTGGGTACTTTTTTCTAACCGTGTATAACACGATTTTCCGTCCCTTTCCACCATGTACACTCATAAAATTCGACACATTTTTATTGGCGAATTTCCATGTAAAATTCCACATGATTTTCATGTGTCCACACATAAACAGAATCCAATCAGAAGTACATATGAAATTTATGAGTCAAATGAATAGTATGTGTGGTTACACATGAATTGTATGTGTACACATAAGAACTATGTGTCCGACACATATATATCATTTGTTTATCACATTGCAAAAATTCATGTGTGGGACACATAAAAATAATCATTGAATTTTTATTAGTGTAGTAGATGCAACGCCGTGTAAAGTTTTTCATTATTTTCCTCTGGCTTACCCAAAAAATGTATGAAATTAGATCTGTCAAAATGAGTTTGACATCGATTTGTTATGTATTTTCCTCGGATATTCACTAACACGCTCTCACATATCGCACCAATACAACCGGTCGTGAAAATATCTATAAGATTAACGGCAAGCCCAACAAACAATTTTAGTTGCAGATCAGCTTATACAGACAAAAATTAGCTGCATAAGGCAATTTTCGGCTGTATAAGCTAGTCTGCAGCTAAAATTGTTAGTTGGGAGGTGACTACATATAGGTGTTCTAATGTGTCAAATTCATGATTCAGCCATGGGACAGCGACCGAGTTTGTTTAAAAATTGCTCTAAAATCACACTAAACCCCCCCCCCCCCCCCCGCTACCTCCTCGTCTATATAGTGACAAAACTATATCACCGCGTATTGCGTACACTATACCCACCATGGTCCGGGCCAACAGGCAGCTTGTTGGTATCAGAAGCAAAAATGTTGTAAACATTGCGTACACTGAACCAAAACATCATCCTTTGATCGATTGATTATTGCTTCACCCGAGGCCTCACCCAAGCCCTATAACTATTTTCAGATGATTTTGAAATGATTGTCATTCAGTTCACCATCTGTTAAAACCATAACAACTTGGATGCTTATCATCCTAATCTACACTAAGAAAAAATCAATGGTTGTTTTTATGTGTCCCACACATGAATTTTTGCAATTTGATAAATATGTGTCGGACACATAGTTCGTATACATAAAATTCATGTGTAACCACACCTACTATTATTTGACTCATAAATTCCATGTGTACTTCTGAATGGATTCTGTTTATGTGTGGACACATGAAAATCATATGGAATTTTACATGGAAATTCGCCAACAAAAATTTGTCAAATTTTATGAGTGTAGGCTGATTTTAGTTCAATTTTTGAGAGCATAGGTGGACGTAAATCAAATAAAAATAACCCAGGCATGGAAAATCATTTGCATTCATTTCCATTCATTTGCCTCTAACTTTTTTCTTCAACAGCATTCCGCAAAATAATGTATATAGCTTTTGTAGATTTTGTTATTAGCTACAACTTTTGTTAACAAGTCAAATCTATATCTCTGATGCATGACGAACCAAAGCGAACAGAAGCCACTACTGTTTTTCAGTGAATGTATTTTACATTCACTGAAAAACAGTAACAAGTTCTGCCCGCTCTAGTTCGTGATGCATAAGAGATACAGATTTGAGCTATGAGCAAAAGTTGTAGTTAATAACAAAACCTCAAAACAAAAGCTCTAATTATCATTTTGCTGAATGTTGTTGATGAAAAAAGTTAGAGGCAAATGAATGTAAATGAATGTATGAAATGAATGTAAATGATTTTCCATGCCTGAAATAACCACTTATCATTTTCAAGAGCTGACATCTACTAACTTGACGTGAAAAAGAACTGGCATCACTGATAAGTTCGAAATTTGGTGGCTTTCTCAATGCTTCAGTAGCGCCACCATGACAAATGCAAGCACATTCCCAACTATAACATTATTTGCGATGAATGTGATTGCGAGTGTTATGTCTGTTTGTGTGTGCTAAAACTTACCCATCGTTGAAGATAACAGCCTACAGAAACTCAAAATTCAATTTGAAAAATTAAAGTTACACTTGTCAGATACGTCAGTCATAAAGTTGCTTGTCTGTCAGATACGTCGCTGTTGACTTTTTGCATTTTCAATCACAGTTTTCATACACCAACAGTTCATTATGAAAATGAATGATTCTAGTTATGGGCCTTCGATGATACATTTATCTCTCAGATTTAAGATTATGTTCGTTTGGTTTGGTACATTCCGGAAACAATCTTTAATTCATACAAGTTTCATGTCCATTATCATCTACTTTAAAAATTATTTTCACTTTATGCTATAGGCACCTTTTTCACTTGTTGCTGGTTTCATTCGAAAACAAGAAATTGGCATTTGTTAACACACCGTTTGACGAATCATTCGATAAATGGCAGGTCTTTTCTTACAGTGTACGACATCACTCTACACTCATAAAAATTCAATGATTATTTTTATGTGCCCTACACATGAATTTTTGCAATGTGATAAACAAATGATATATAGGTGAAATGGATGTTATGTCGGCCTAAATGCCCCTTGAGACAATACATAGATTCAGCAATCGACTAAATTTTCAATAGCGACCAAACATATCCATTAGTTTCGTCCCAATGACGCGTTCATCTAGATAAAATTGATAAATAGCAGATGTTTAGATCAACTTCATAATCAGCTGAATTGTAAATACACACGCAGAAAAATTTACCGTCGAAACAAAAATATTTGAGGTAAATTTAAACGTAAACTCAGTTTGTTCTGGCCACAAACATAAACTAGGTTGGAGTCCGCATCGTGATCTCTTGCCGTGCGGATCTATTTGCTTTTTGCTGAAGGAAGTGTTACTACTACCTAAAGCTACAACAAATTTAAACAGCACTTTTCAGTGCTCAACCTGTAAAAAATTTCTACCTTGTTCAACTCTTATTCCTCTTCGATCCTTGTTTGGACCCTACCCGAGGTAATCCTTCTTGGATATCGATTTGGAAAATTCCTCTTCGATCCTTCAGATTCTTATAGTAATCTGCTTGGAAGTCGATTTGGATAAAAATTTACTGCCGCCATGGCGCCTAAACGCAAAAGAAAGGGGCAAACTCTTGACCCCCCTTCTGATGAAATTAATTTTAGTAATCAATTTGATTTGCTCACGGATGATGAGAATGATCCATCATCCAAGAAAAATTCTAGTAAACTTTCCCGGCT